TATAATGGCACCATGATTGTAGTCACGATTGCTTGCTAAATTCACGTTTCCGACGATTGCTTTTTGTTCTTATTACTCAATTCAAAACAACAGAAAAAAATGATAAGTCCCCATACTCGTTTGCGAGAAAATGACGATTTACCTCTATGGCGAGGTCCAGCTGTAAAGAAAAAGCCGCCATTTTTTAATGTGCGCGCGCTAATCACGCGTGAAATTATGTGCAGTAAGGATGCGCAATGCAATACTGGGGAATGACCTTAAGGTAGCACTTTCAGTGCGTCACTGCTGTAGAGTGTCTTATACTGACTGCTGGCCAAGAGCCACTCCAGTACGCCCCAGATATACCACAAGGCCATTCATTTCTTGACAAGGCTAATGTACTTTAACAACGCACACCAAGAAGTCGTATAACGTGTACTGCTAGTTGAATAATGATGAAATATTTTAATATCGAAATTGGAACACCCCAGATAGGGCTGTCCACAAGTTATTCGGTAGCTTTTTCAGGTGCAACTTTTCCAAATCAATTACGAATATCTGTTATCCCTGTCTGTAACTCTTTGAGTTCTGAGCAGCTTCTATCCATTCAGAGAAATTGGAGCAGCTTTTAATAACTACAGCATGTGGTCTTACATACATGGTGGTGCTCTCAGAACATAACAATATGAAACATATTCTAAGGTTAAATGTCGCAGGTATATAGACACACCGTAGGACATAAATACAAAAGAAGGTTACGTCTTCCTTCACATGCGAAATTTAAATGCACGACCATTGGCCCAATTGTTTTTGAGGGAGTGAGGTGAAGGATTTTTGCGCCAGACATAACGCAGAAAATTTGGGGGTATTTCGGCACGGGCCGAGAGTAACCGTCTTCCGCATTGCTTATACGCCACAAGAATGAGATAACTGAGATAAATATAGATGTGTATTTAACTTTGCAACTATTTCCTGTATTTCGGTTTCTTGACTTCAGTTTTAGAGTCAGACTGCATGTTATCAGAATTCTGAGAAATGATTCCAGTTTTAGCTGTGTGAGATTTACAGGCAGGAACAAGAAGATTAGATTGACGCAGTCCATCGGCCGGCCATAAGAGACAAAACATCTATAAAAGGGAGTTTACAAGTGTTTCTGAAATCCAACAATCTTTATTGTAAGCTTCTCGCAGAATTGACTCATGGCTGGCCATTGACTTTGTATTTTTTTAATTAAAGAACTTATTTTTTTTTCATTTATTCATTTATCTTTTCTTGATGTTGAAAAGTGTTGGAGAGTATTAAAGCAGATGTACATGAACTTCGCTCTCGCCCAAGAGGATTTTCATGAACGTTAAAAAAGCACACAAAACGGAAGTTTACACAACCCGGGTATGGTTTCAAAGAATTGACCCTGCTCTGACCAAATGTAACGTGGGCTCAGAAAGGGGGAACTTGCCTTGAAAAATATTATTGTCTACTTCGCGTTTGCTCGTCGCCCTGGGTCTCGAGAGTCTTTGCAGAAATAATTGATACATGGTAAGATCTGCAAACTACATTTCCGTTGTGCAATGCGGAATGTTCGTGTGATTGATAGAAAGTAGAGATTCTGAAACATTCTTGTGGAAAGCGAGCATCGTGCCGCTGGCTAGCCGCGATGTCGAAGAAGAACAAGTTGAACAAACTGAATTTGACTATAACCCCTTCTACTCCGTCTCCTGATCCACTGCAGCCCGAACCGTAAGTAAATGGCCGCTTTTGGCCTTTTTCTTCTCATTCTGAGGTCAAATCCACCTTTATTTTAAGTCACTGGCCGTCAACATCGTGCACGATATAAGCCCTTTGTACGGTGATTTTTTCTGTTGTTTTGCAGTAATGATGCCGCTGGGATCGGCTTGCAGAAAATGGAGGAGATACGAAAGAAATTCGATGAACTTGAACTGGATTCGTTACAGCGCGAAAGACTAGAGGCGTTTCTAGCCGAAAAGAGGAAAATTGGCGAGTTAAACGCAGAAGATTTTGATAAATTGGCCGAGCTAGGCGCTGGAAATGGTGGCGTTGTTACGAAGGTTTTGCACAAGCCCAGTGGATTGATAATGGCTCGAAAGGTGAGGGAACAAAAATACCATTTGGAACCCAATTAAATTCCCAGCCGAATATGTTTTCAGTTGAACGCGATGTTATGCATAGCTAATTCTCCCGATTCTTTCAGGGACTCCTTTATTTCGGCCTTCAAGGCGGCTGTGCTCCTATTTTGACGAGTTTACGACCTCCAGGAATTTCTGTGCTATTTTTGTACATTTTTTCAAAGAACTTATGTTTCCTTTCGTCTGCAGCTAATTCACTTGGAAATCAAGCCTTCTATTCGGAACCAGATCATTAGAGAGTTGAAAGTTTTACATGATTGCAACTCCCCTTACATCGTTGGATTTTACGGCGCCTTTTACAGCGACGGAGAAATCTCTATTTGTATGGAACACATGGTAGGGTGAATGTTTCGTGTATTGGCAAATGTAATGAATGTATTGTATTCTTCCCCATAGGAAAACATTAGGCAGCCATGCATGATGAAGCATTTATTCGTGTAGTAGAAAATGTGTGAAGGCAATACTCTCTCTCGCAAAATGAGAACTGAAGTATAAATTATTTACTGGTTGTATGGCCCACGTCGAACGCAAGCGATTTTGCAAGTAAGCTCGAGACAGTTTTTCGGGTTGCAAATATAAACTGAAAACTGTGATCGTCCCGCACAAAATTCGGGAATGGGTAGAATTTTTTGCGATGAAACTTTTGTCCGTAGGTATGAATACGATATTTTAAAATATGTACGTGACGGTTTTCATGTTGAACCGTTTACTTTTGGTCTCGAGATCTGTCAGTTCAAAATTAAAGGTACTTCAATTTACTGTGGCGGGGGCCGCTTTTTGTTGTGGTGCGCCGTGTTCTCAGCTTCTGCAAAATGCTAATTTGATGCGTTCAGTTGTCACCTCTATCCTCGTTGAGAATGTAGCCGATCGTTTGTATCTTGATTATTTCACGAGCCAAAACCCGGTTGGATAATGAGCATTTAATTTCTAAATTCGGTTGTTCTTCAATGTAGTAAAATCGTGTTTTGCTTTTAGTGAAACAGTGCTCTTGCAAACACGATTATATCTTTATTGATTTAATTATTAGCTAGGCTTGGTTTTGCTGAACTTTTTTTTCCCCTTAAGTCTGGAGAAAGGTTCTTTGCAATTTCCGGGTTTTTCGTTGCATACAAACTTTGGTGGACATCTTGCAAGTTCACCAGGTTTGTTTCCTTTTTTTTTGCACGGGTTTGGTTTGCATGTAGCGTTCTATTCTCCACACCTGCAAAACTTAATGATTTGCATACTAAAATAAATTAATGTTTTGTCTGTCTTACAAGAATTGCACACCTTTCTGATCCTCAAAGTGTTCCGATTACAGTACAAAATTACGTACTTGTTCTGTAAACTTCAAAATTTTTAGCTGTAGTTATGGGCAATTGTATCATCCTGTTGTACAATGTGTACAGCATTTTTCCTCAAAGATATTCATGAAAGAGCTCTTTGCTGCATGTAACTTGTCAGTTTGCCAAAATGCAAAAAAGTTGATCTGGTCTGCCTTCAAGCTACAAACATGCATTGCCTTGTTTGTTTGTTTGTATTATGCCAGGTTATACCATTGTGTCTGTAATTCAAGTTATTTCTGTACAGTACCCCGGGAGAGTAGGTGTTTTCACAGGTGTTAAGAGAAAAACATTTAAAATTATGTCGTGTTAGAACACTTCTCATACAATGAGAAAGGCTAGGTGGAAACCGCAATCCAATTTCTTAAGTATTTACTTGCATTATTTTAATTCAGATGAAAGATATTAAATCCCTTCATCTTAACACAGGTAATTTTTATGATATACATAATTTTTGTTGATGATTTTCATTTCCTGTATTTTTAAACCACAAACTATTTCTTCTACATATATGTATTTGTCTATTTTTATAACTGATGGATATTCCAAGATCTGGATTATTTTGTTGGTTTGAATGCATTGAATAAATACAGGAATCCTGTATTTTGATTTCCACTATTAGTTATTTGTGCTTTTGCTAATAAATGGAAAGCATCTTCAATGTTACTACAGGAAGGCAAGTGTCGGAAGTTTGAGAAAATATAGCATTTTGGGAACACCTAGCCTGAGAACACAGACGTATTTCTGGCTGTCGCTCGTCTCCATTGAAAATAACGTTTGCAAACCCGAGCCAGGAAATGATTTCTGTGACGTAATGATTTTTGTTTCTCCTTGGCCAATCAGATTCCATGATAGAATGAAACTCGAGTGCTCCTCACAGCAAATACCTTGCACGGTAGTTCTGGGGCTTCTCGAGTTAAACTGTGATTGGCTTGAAATTCCTACTTCACAGAAATCGTTTTCTGGCTCGGGTTCGCAGACGTTATTTTTGGGGGAGACAAGCGACAGCTGGAAATACGTCTGTGTTCACAGGCTAGGGAACACCAGCCATGCAATTGTTCATCACAGCTGTTTGGAATTCTCCCAGCCTGTCACAAATGCTTTTTGAACTCAATGGAAATCTGTGGTCTTAGTCTGATTTAGTTTTAGTTTTATTCAGCTCTGTTCCTGCTAACAGCTTAACAGTCATAAGTTATTATAAGCTTTAACATAATGCTATCACATGCATCAGTTACTTTTTCTCGGTGGGAATTCTTATGAACATAATCTTAAGCGTTCTAATGATCAGCGTAATCATAATTCAAGTGAGCTATCATGTTCCTATTAACATTTCTATGGCAGTGTTTTTCTTACAAGGAAAACAGAATTATTATCAACATCATTATAATGCAAAAGTCAATTGACATCAAGCATTAATGGTACATTTTCTGTCTGATAATGGTGAGCAGAAACTATGTTGGTCAGCATGTGATAACCTTAAAGATCTAAGTAGTTAAACTGGGTTGTTTAATTGGCTGTCGGGGGAGAAAGATATATTTTATATGGCAACTCAAATTATGGTTGTTATTTTACTGATGCGTGAAACTTTTGCTTGCAGAATTTTGCTTGTGACAGGTCAGAATACAGTTTCTACAACCNTTATTACTCAATTCAAAACAACAGAAAAAAATGATAAGTCCCCATACTCGTTTGCGAGAAAATGACGATTTACCTCTATGGCGAGGTCCAGCTGTAAAGAAAAAGCCGCCATTTTTAATGTGCGCGCGCTAATCACGCGTGAAATTATGCGCAGTAAGGATGCGCAATGCAATACTGGGGAATGACCTTAAGGTAGCACTTTCAGTGCGTCACTGCTGTAGAGTGTCTTATACTGACTGCTGGCCAAGAGCCACTCCAGTACGCCCCAGATATACCACAAGGCCATTCATTTCTTGACAAGGCTAATGTACTTTAACAACGCACACCAAGAAGTCGTATAACGTGTACTGCTAGTTGAATAATGATGAAATATTTTAATATCGAAATTGGAACACCCCAGATAGGGCTGTCCACAAGTTATTCGGTAGCTTTTTCAGGTGCAACTTTTCCAAATCAATTACGAATATCTGTTATCCCTGTCTGTAACTCTTTGAGTTCTGAGCAGCTTCTATCCATTCAGAGAAATTGGAGCAGCTTTTAATAACTACAGCATGTGGTCTTACATACATGGTGGTGCTCTCAGAACATAACAATATGAAACATATTCTAAGGTTAAATGTCGCAGGTATATAGACACACCGTAGGACATAAATACAAAAGAAGGTTACGTCTTCCTTCACATGCGAAATTTAAATGCACGACCATTGGCCCAATTGTTTTTGAGGGAGTGAGGTGAAGGATTTTTGCGCCAGACATAACGCAGAAAATTTGGGGGTATTTCGGCACGGGCCGAGAGTAACCGTCTTCCGCATTGCTTATACGCCACAAGAATGAGATAACTGAGATAAATATAGATGTGTATTTAACTTTGCAACTATTTCCTGTATTTCGGTTTCTTGACTTCAGTTTTAGAGTCAGACTGCATGTTATCAGAATTCTGAGAAATGATTCCAGTTTTAGCTGTGTGAGATTTACAGGCAGGAACAAGAAGATTAGATTGACGCAGTCCATCGGCCGGCCATAAGAGACAAAACATCTATAAAAGGGAGTTTACAAGTGTTTCTGAAATCCAACAATCTTTATTGTAAGCTTCTCGCAGAATTGACTCATGGCTGGCCATTGACTTTGTATTTTTTTAATTAAAGAACTTATTTTTTTTTCATTTATTCATTTATCTTTTCTTGATGTTGAAAAGTGTTGGAGAGTATTAAAGCAGATGTACATGAACTTCGCTCTCGCCCAAGAGGATTTTCATGAACGTTAAAAAAGCACACAAAACGGAAGTTTACACAACCCGGGTATGGTTTCAAAGAATTGACCCTGCTCTGACCAAATGTAACGTGGGCTCAGAAAGGGGGAACTTGCCTTGAAAAATATTATTGTCTACTTCGCGTTTGCTCGTCGCCCTGGGTCTCGAGAGTCTTTGCAGAAATAATTGATACATGGTAAGATCTGCAAACTACATTTCCGTTGTGCAATGCGGAATGTTCGTGTGATTGATAGAAAGTAGAGATTCTGAAACATTCTTGTGGAAAGCGAGCATCGTGCCGCTGGCTAGCCGCGATGTCGAAGAAGAACAAGTTGAACAAACTGAATTTGACTATAACCCCTTCTACTCCGTCTCCTGATCCACTGCAGCCCGAACCGTAAGTAAATGGCCGCTTTTGGCCTTTTTCTTCTCATTCTGAGGTCAAATCCACCTTTATTTTAAGTCACTGGCCGTCAACATCGTGCACGATATAAGCCCTTTGTACGGTGATTTTTTCTGTTGTTTTGCAGTAATGATGCCGCTGGGATCGGCTTGCAGAAAATGGAGGAGATACGAAAGAAATTCGATGAACTTGAACTGGATTCGTTACAGCGCGAAAGACTAGAGGCGTTTCTAGCCGAAAAGAGGAAAATTGGCGAGTTAAACGCAGAAGATTTTGATAAATTGGCCGAGCTAGGCGCTGGAAATGGTGGCGTTGTTACGAAGGTTTTGCACAAGCCCAGTGGATTGATAATGGCTCGAAAGGTGAGGGAACAAAAATACCATTTGGAACCCAATTAAATTCCCAGCCGAATATGTTTTCAGTTGAACGCGATGTTATGCATAGCTAATTCTCCCGATTCTTTCAGGGACTCCTTTATTTCGGCCTTCAAGGCGGCTGTGCTCCTATTTTGACGAGTTTACGACCTCCAGGAATTTCTGTGCTATTTTTGTACATTTTTTCAAAGAACTTATGTTTCCTTTCGTCTGCAGCTAATTCACTTGGAAATCAAGCCTTCTATTCGGAACCAGATCATTAGAGAGTTGAAAGTTTTACATGATTGCAACTCCCCTTACATCGTTGGATTTTACGGCGCCTTTTACAGCGACGGAGAAATCTCTATTTGTATGGAACACATGGTAGGGTGAATGTTTCGTGTATTGGCAAATGTAATGAATGTATTGTATTCTTCCCCATAGGAAAACATTAGGCAGCCATGCATGATGAAGCATTTATTCGTGTAGTAGAAAATGTGTGAAGGCAATACTCTCTCTCGCAAAATGAGAACTGAAGTATAAATTATTTACTGGTTGTATGGCCCACGTCGAACGCAAGCGATTTTGCAAGTAAGCTCGAGACAGTTTTTCGGGTTGCAAATATAAACTGAAAACTGTGATCGTCCCGCACAAAATTCGGGAATGGGTAGAATTTTTTGCGATGAAACTTTTGTCCGTAGGTATGAATACGATATTTTAAAATATGTACGTGACGGTTTTCATGTTGAACCGTTTACTTTTGGTCTCGAGATCTGTCAGTTCAAAATTAAAGGTACTTCAATTTACTGTGGCGGGGGCCGCTTTTTGTTGTGGTGCGCCGTGTTCTCAGCTTCTGCAAAATGCTAATTTGATGCGTTCAGTTGTCACCTCTATCCTCGTTGAGAATGTAGCCGATCGTTTGTATCTTGATTATTTCACGAGCCAAAACCCGGTTGGATAATGAGCATTTAATTTCTAAATTCGGTTGTTCTTCAATGTAGTAAAATCGTGTTTTGCTTTTAGTGAAACAGTGCTCTTGCAAACACGATTATATCTTTATTGATTTAATTATTAGCTAGGCTTGGTTTTGCTGAACTTTTTTTTCCCCTTAAGTCTGGAGAAAGGTTCTTTGCAATTTCCGGGTTTTTCGTTGCATACAAACTTTGGTGGACATCTTGCAAGTTCACCAGGTTTGTTTCCTTTTTTTTTGCACGGGTTTGGTTTGCATGTAGCGTTCTATTCTCCACACCTGCAAAACTTAATGATTTGCATACTAAAATAAATTAATGTTTTGTCTGTCTTACAAGAATTGCACACCTTTCTGATCCTCAAAGTGTTCCGATTACAGTACAAAATTACGTACTTGTTCTGTAAACTTCAAAATTTTTAGCTGTAGTTATGGGCAATTGTATCATCCTGTTGTACAATGTGTACAGCATTTTTCCTCAAAGATATTCATGAAAGAGCTCTTTGCTGCATGTAACTTGTCAGTTTGCCAAAATGCAAAAAAGTTGATCTGGTCTGCCTTCAAGCTACAAACATGCATTGCCTTGTTTGTTTGTTTGTATTATGCCAGGTTATACCATTGTGTCTGTAATTCAAGTTATTTCTGTACAGTACCCCGGGAGAGTAGGTGTTTTCACAGGTGTTAAGAGAAAAACATTTAAAATTATGTCGTGTTAGAACACTTCTCATACAATGAGAAAGGCTAGGTGGAAACCGCAATCCAATTTCTTAAGTATTTACTTGCATTATTTTAATTCAGATGAAAGATATTAAATCCCTTCATCTTAACACAGGTAATTTTTATGATATACATAATTTTTGTTGATGATTTTCATTTCCTGTATTTTTAAACCACAAACTATTTCTTCTACATATATGTATTTGTCTATTTTTATAACTGATGGATATTCCAAGATCTGGATTATTTTGTTGGTTTGAATGCATTGAATAAATACAGGAATCCTGTATTTTGATTTCCACTATTAGTTATTTGTGCTTTTGCTAATAAATGGAAAGCATCTTCAATGTTACTACAGGAAGGCAAGTGTCGGAAGTTTGAGAAAATATAGCATTTTGGGAACACCTAGCCTGAGAACACAGACGTATTTCTGGCTGTCGCTCGTCTCCATTGAAAATAACGTTTGCAAACCCGAGCCAGGAAATGATTTCTGTGACGTAATGATTTTTGTTTCTCCTTGGCCAATCAGATTCCATGATAGAATGAAACTCGAGTGCTCCTCACAGCAAATACCTTGCACGGTAGTTCTGGGGCTTCTCGAGTTAAACTGTGATTGGCTTGAAATTCCTACTTCACAGAAATCGTTTTCTGGCTCGGGTTCGCAGACGTTATTTTTGGGGGAGACAAGCGACAGCTGGAAATACGTCTGTGTTCACAGGCTAGGGAACACCAGCCATGCAATTGTTCATCACAGCTGTTTGGAATTCTCCCAGCCTGTCACAAATGCTTTTTGAACTCAATGGAAATCTGTGGTCTTAGTCTGATTTAGTTTTAGTTTTATTCAGCTCTGTTCCTGCTAACAGCTTAACAGTCATAAGTTATTATAAGCTTTAACATAATGCTATCACATGCATCAGTTACTTTTTCTCGGTGGGAATTCTTATGAACATAATCTTAAGCGTTCTAATGATCAGCGTAATCATAATTCAAGTGAGCTATCATGTTCCTATTAACATTTCTATGGCAGTGTTTTTCTTACAAGGAAAACAGAATTATTATCAACATCATTATAATGCAAAAGTCAATTGACATCAAGCATTAATGGTACATTTTCTGTCTGATAATGGTGAGCAGAAACTATGTTGGTCAGCATGTGATAACCTTAAAGATCTAAGTAGTTAAACTGGGTTGTTTAATTGGCTGTCGGGGGAGAAAGATATATTTTATATGGCAACTCAAATTATGGTTGTTATTTTACTGATGCGTGAAACTTTTGCTTGCAGAATTTTGCTTGTGACAGGTCAGAATACAGTTTCTACAACCTTTTTAGTTCCTTTAGTGAGAGTTAAATTGATCTTCTGCAGCTGTTGATCATGTGACTATGTTCATCAAAGTAGCACTCGATTGTTACATCAATGAACAGAACAGTATTTACTCTGTTAGTTTTTTCATTACACATTATCAGAGATATCAACCTAAAAAATCAAAATCAAGATTACCAATTTTACCTTCTTTACTCTTAAGAAAGTTGTTTTAAGTGGAGCTTGGCAAATTCAACCACAAAAAGGCATCAGATATCCAAAAATTTGCCAAAATACATCTGAAACTGTATTTTATGCACTTTCCTTCACATTGTCCAGGAGATTTGGTGACTGACAAGGGAGCCCAGGAGATTCAGTCTGTACCTGGGAGACTCCTGTACAATCTGGGAGAGTTGGCATAGATGCTTTGTAGTTATGAAAAATACCACAGATGTATTTCAAGGGGAGAATTGCAGCTGCAGTCTTCTTATTCAGATCAAATGAGAATTGAGAAATGTTACATTTTGAAGAGAGGTCAAACCTCTGGAAGTCAGACAGAATCTTTCAAAATACTGTCTTGGTCCGGAAGACAAACTGTGTACTCTGGTGCAGCTGTGTACTCCCTTTAATAGTTGGAAATGATGTAGGATGTACCCTTAAGGATGTTCTTAAAGCATTACTTGTGTCAGAAATGCAATGATAAAGGTCACCAAATTTGTTGCAGCGATAAAGTATGTGTAAAGATACCTTGATTTTGAAAAATTGTGACCCATAATTCAGCATGGTATCCAGGGCTTTTAGAGTCAACAAAAATAAACTAGCCATATTTCATATCTGATGGTCTGTTGCATTATTAATTCCAAATGTTGCCATCCTTTCACAAAACTTAACCCTAAAAAGGTATTTGATACCAAACAACGTAACAGTGTATTTGAAGAGCAAACAAAAAACAATACATAGCTTTCCCTTTTTTTCCAAAGTTACAGCAGTCACCAGTAGTACTATTGTTGCTCATTCTTATACTTAGCATGCACTTACGCCTGACATGGCTTTTAATTGCTTGCACAGGGATCTGCAAAAACAATTACTGCAAAGAAGCCATATGTTTTTGTAAACTCTGGCTGACTGGATGTAAAATTTAAACTAGTCTTCCAAGTTGCTGTAATTTCATATCTCACCTCTAAATCATCTCTTAAAACCAGAGTGCTTCAATGTACCGTACCTGTTGCATCACCTTGGAATGATCAATTTCTCTTATTAGTGTCCCTAGGACTGACTTTCTAACATATTGGCGTCCTAACTAGTGGCACGTCAGATTTGAGTAACCAAAACATTTATAACTAACCAAAATTTCTGCTATTCAAGTTTTAATACACTACTGTAGTTTATTGCAGAGATGCTAGTCTATTGCAAGATAACCCCCAAGGTAACCCACATTAAATTCACCAGTGCACATTGGAGCCTGATCGAGGTTTGTTAGGACTGTGTACCTGGCAAATTGACTGGCTGAGGATAATTTTGCCCACCTGGGTTGACCATCTAGAGGAAAGTTTTTCTAATAAAGAAGTTCAGTTCAAAACGTTTTGCCTGCTAGTGAAATCAGTCACCTTCCTGCTTAAACGCTAATGAAACCCCTGAGCTTGACTGTTTAATCCAGAGGCTAGTGTGCTTGAGGTCATTTTACCTCTCAAGAGGTCAGCCATAACACTGGGTATAGAGGCTTCCTAACCAAGAGACTTCTATAAGCAGGCAAAATTTTTTCTATCAGTCTCAAGGCCTGCAGTTTGCATCTCTACTAACAACTTGTTTAATTCTGTTCACAGGACGGTGGGTCACTGGACCAGATACTCAAAAAAGCTGATCAACTTCCTGAGGACATTTTGGGGAAAATCACTGTTGCTGTAAGAACTAATAATGACTCAACTATGTTGAACACAATTGTCACAGTTTGCTTGATTCTTCAATGTAACTTAGTTCTGGAAAATACACAATTTAACAAGCTAATGCAGGATTTATGATAACTTTTAAGTTTTTTGACTTATCATGTTTTAACTTTTACCAGTAAAAACCAGCAGTAGAAGTTCAAAATACGTTTAAAGTGCGGGTGGCGGAATTTACAGCATCACAAATTTATTCCACAGGTTTTGAAGGGTTTGAGCTATCTCAGAGACAACCACAAAATAATTCACAGAGGTAGGAGGCCAGAAATTATTCATACTATAAAGCCGTTTGAGTACCGTCACTATATTTAACAGATAAAGAATCCTAAACCATGTATTACACTGTGATAAAAAACGACGGGCATTTGAGAACACAAGGGAAATGTAGAAAACACGAGCTGCAGGCGAGTGTTTTCAACATTTCTCAAGTGTTCTCAAATGTCTGGAATGTTCTATCACAGTGTAATACACGGGCATCTTCATTTGCTTTATGATATAGAGGTAATGTGGAAAAAACATTATAACAAGCTTTTTCTATGTTTTATACTCTGATAAAGCATGGGTTTTTTGGGCAATCACAGCATGTGCAGGGTCCTATCTATATTATAAGTGGACATAAAAGGAGAAGGCCATCTCCATGTTATCCAGGTTTCCTTATTAAGCAGGCTGCCCTGATAAACCTCACAGACATTGTTCTCTCTACACAAAGAATAAAGTGTGCAATCTAATGCAACAGAATGGTGTTTAATAATTTAGCTGTAACTTAAGCAAGTNACAGTTTGCTTGATTCTTCAATGTAACTTAGTTCAGGAAAATACACAATATAACAAGCTAATGCAGGATTTATGATAACTTTTAAGTTTTTTGACTTATCATGTTTTAACTTTTACCAGTAAAAACCAGCAGTAGAAGTTCAAAATACGTTTAAAGTGCGGGTGGCGGAATTTACAGCATCACAAATTTATTCCACAGGTTTTGAAGGGTTTGAGCTATCTCAGAGACAACCACAAAATAATTCACAGAGGTAGGAGGCCAGAAATTATTCATACTATAAAGCCGTTTGAATACCATCACTATATTTAACAGATAAAGAATCCTAAACCATGTATTACACTGTGATAAAAAGCGACGGGCATTTGAGAACACAAGGGAAATGTAGAAAACACAAGCTGCAGGCGAGTGTTTTCAACATTTCTCAAGTGTTCTCAAATGTCTGGAATGTTGTATCACAGTGTAATACACGGGCATCTTCATTTGCTTTATGATATAGAGGTAATGTGGAAAAAAACACTATAACAAGCTTTTTCTATGGGTTTTTTGAGCAATCACAGCACGTGCAGGGTCCTATCTATATTATAAATGGACATAAAAGGAGAAGGCCATCTCCATGTTATCCAGGTTTCCTTATTAAGCAGGCTGTCCTGATAAACCTCACAGACATTGTTCTCTCTATACAAAGAATAAAGTGTGCAATCTAATGCAACAGAATGGTGTTTAATAATTTAGCTGTAACTTAAGCAAGTTTAAACTCAAGGAACTTCATGCTCATTGAAAGAGTCAAATGTATACCAGTAAGGCTTACAAGTGTTCAAGATGTTGCCGCCAATGAGCTGCCTGAGTTTTTGAATCCCTAGGTTGTTACAAACATTGCCTTTTTCTAAGATGCTCCCTTTAATACAAACTGTCAGTAGCTTTAAGACCATCTTTGTGCTTGTGCTCCACAGATGTAAAGCCATCAAATATTTTAGTGAACTCACGTGGTGAAATAAAGTTGTGTGATTTTGGAGTCAGCGGCCAGTTAATTGACTCAATGGCAAATTCCTTTGTTGGCACAAGATCTTACATGTCGGTAAGCTATAAAAGAACTGATAGAACCAAAAAACTTGTCATGTAATTTTTTTTTTGATCCAGCTAATTATATATTGTTGATTACAATCTCACCACCATAAGTCTTGGAAAGTTGTTGATATGATAGATTGATATACCATCGGTTGACAAAGGAAGAAATTCGGTTTAAATACAGTGGAATCTCAATTTTTTTAAGGTTACTCCAAACTTTCGCAGGGCTACTTTTGCCAAATTTTCCTTTTTTCAACCAAATTAAGAGTGTGTCCACGAGAAAACCAGGCAGAACCAGGCAGGAGGTGATACAGCTCAAATCACCATTTTCACTCAAACTTGGTACAAATGTTGGGTTTGATGAGGGAATGATTGTGGCAAAAAAGTAGGTCAAAATATTTTATTCCCTTTAAGTTGCGGGAACCCCTTCCAAAAATGGCCATTTGACACTAATTTATGCATATTTAATTAGCCATATTTGGTTTAGTATTTCTACAACAAGAAAACCCATGTGAAAGTGAAATCCACTGGATCATGTTGTGCAACTATCAGTCTAAACGCACAGATGTTCATTTTTACTGGGCAATTTGATTTCTCTTTGTGGCTTCATCTTAAGTAAGGTGCATATTTCATAGTGTTGTGAATAGCCTTTAATTGATGGCAAATATCTGCAATGGGCAAAACCAAATACACATTATTCTAACATTAATAGTGAGAGCAATCAACAAAGTTCTCAAAAAAGCCATAAAAGGTTTGGGGACTTCAATATTTTTTCTGTGCTGGTGTACTGTTTACATAGAACTTAACGATTTATGGCCATTTCACAACATCCACTAAAACACGAAAAAACGCAAAAAAACTCACACCAGTCCCTTGCTTCCAAGGAACACCTGCCAGATTATTAAGCATATTTGACGGTATTTTTGACTGCCCAAAGAATTTAACAGTCTGAATTTGAGCTATTTTGCTTTGTAAATGTCAAAACAACACAAGAAAACGAAGAGGAGGAAAATTACCGTAAGTGGTGTTTATTTTTATAACCAGATTCAGACTTAAAAAGGAGTTTGCACAGGCTGGCCACACACAGTAGGTTTTTCTTGTTGCGGAAGAGTAAAGCTTGTCGCCTGGCGCCGCTAGATCACAACCTTGAGGAGGCATAACTTCATGTTCGTTTGTTCATATAGGCGTTGCCAACTCAAAAATGTAGTTCCATGGGTTCACGATTATGGAATTCTGAGGGCAC